CTAGACCATAGATCTAGAAGAACCTAGGTCTACCCTGAGCCAAGAGGGCGCTGAAACTCTCCGAAATCACAAAAGAGTTCCCTTACCGGGTCTGTATGCTTTGTGACTTTGTTCCCGGTTACCGGGTCTGTATACACTCCCATTTAAAAAATCGCTGTTATTATCGGATCCCTGTTATTCGGGTCTGGGTGTTATATGGTTTCCACTGTATTTGTATCGGTCTCTGGTGCAAGGTTATTGGGGTTTTTTTTCATAGTCGGGTTTAAAAAAAATTATCTATTCTATGCACGTAAAAATTAATAATGGATCGACTATATTCTAATGATACGAAGGCTGTTTTTTTCATGTCTTGTGCACGGGTCAAACGTTTCATTGCCACACTCTTAACACATCAGTTCGATTCCCGTAAGGGGACATTTTTTTTAACCGAGAACTTCCGTCTTTCTGCTGGGGCGTTGTTCCCTCTCAGACCAGATTGGCCCTGACATTGGGTTGAAGTAGCCCGTCTCCTAAATGTCCTATATTATGCCATTGGGAGTGTAAAATATCTACAATACATACAATATAAAAGCTAATCACAATGACCCAAGGAGTTTTCCATTCTAAGTTAATTTAAATCTAAGTCTACTTATTGGGAAGTGAAAAAGAGCTTCGGCTATTGCCCTCTACCCTCTACGTCTTGCACCAAAACGAGCACAGCCTCTCCCTTCCTCTACGGTTCCGAGTTCACATGCGGGCACACGTGGCTTGCCAGGCTGTGAGCAAGACAAGGGACACAATGTAAAGCAAGTCATGGGCCACAAGTGGCTTGCTGTGCATAAGGTCATATCATGAGCGCCAACAGAGGAGTCCTTACAGTACAGGGAATCAGACTTATTCTGCTCACCTCTCTAGCTTCAACAGCACAAAGTCTGCTTTGACTATCAAGGCACCCCTGAAACTGAAACAGAGTGTAACAAACATACAAAAGAAATAGAGGAAAATAACGATAGTAAGGATTAGGAAAGAAAAAGCAGCAGTTCTCTGTTGCAGGTCAGGCAGTTATGAGCATGGCATTGATGAATCAGCCCATTTACAATTTCTACTTTGCACAAGAACTCGAGATGTCAATGTTCCCCCTTTGGGAATGGCTCGCTCAACTCGCTGTGCTGCCAGCGGGATTTGAGGCTTACCTGCCTCACTGTGAGTGAGCGCGTCTCCCCCTCTTTCTGACGGTGGCTTCGCGGATAGCAAGCAGGGTGTGGGGAGAATGAGGGGGTTCGACACGACTGGCTTCGCGGATTGCTAGTACAGTGTACTAGTAGTAGTGTTGTAGACTTGACACTCAGGCTAGACTCAAGTGAAACATGCTGGTGATTTGATGATTTGACCTAGTGGTTTGAGGCGACTAAGGGCTTGCAAGCACAAGCGGGTTTGCTATCGGGGTACAGCTCTACTATCCACCGACCAAACTGACACCAGCCAGCCACATGTATATAACTGGTGGCCCCTAGCTGTGACCACCCAACCAGACCATTGCCTGCGAGATGTCAGTAAAAGTAAAAACTCAAAGTAAAAAGACAGAACACAAAATACACTTACCCGGTACTTACATTTTCCTTTTTTAAATATTTCAGAAAATGGAAAGCCTTTCTACTTTCTGTGACAATATTTAGTTCTATCCATCCCATCATAAATTAGGACTATAGTAATGGCAGAACTTCTATAAATACTATTATTATCTTAAATACTATTATTATCTAAATTAGCCAATACTGGAGATACACCAGTTTGTAAGAATAGCAAATTTAAAATGATAAGACAAATCACATTAGTTTTATCATATTTATTGCTGTAACAACAGACAACTGTCTGGGAAACAGAAAAGAACAGAACATTTTTTTAAAAAATGAATGAGGAATCATTACAAGATAAATCAATATATATATGCACCATTGTCACTAGTTCCTGTATACGTCATGAGTAATAATAGCACATTACTGAAATTATTGACAAACACAAATCCCAGAGCCATACAAAACAATGAAAAATGAAAACAACTTATCACTCTTGAGTGTTCTTGCATAGCCCATCCTAGTCGTCGCTGGGCTTACCTCCGAGAGTTCCCAGTCATACAAATAGCTACTACAGAATGGACAGAACCGCAAGACCATACACTCAATTAACTGCTCATACAAGAACCACACTGGCTTATTTCTCTGCTTTGAGAAAAAGTACCATTCACAAAATGCTGTTCTATATTTTACAACATTTATTAGCGAGATTCAGCACAAAATAGGCTTAGGTAAGTATTTGCTAGAGTACATAATAAGTAAAAAAAATGTGACATCTCTTGTAACTGAAATACATTACATGCGGAAGTCACCAATATGAATGTAGCAAAATCAAACGACAAGCACTACCCTCATTGAGCGCAATTTTTAAAAAACTTGTCATAAGTGATTCTTTACAGACATGCATTGACCTGATCTGCCCTTTGTAAACCGTTTTATACTTTTATAAAAAAAAAAAAAGAGTATGTCTTCGGACAACTTTATGAACAACCATGCGGCAACATCATGCAATAACTTGAGATTTTGAATCTGAAAGAAACATTTCAGGATAAAATTTATAATTTCAGCAACAATTACAGAATAGGCATATAAAAATCAAATGCGACAGGAGAACAATTTTCACCCAAAGTTGTCAAAACCTAAAATGACAGGCCTGCCACCTTTAGACAATGAACAATGCAAACCCTCAACTAAATTTGAAAAATGACACCTTTGCCCCAACTTCGTGCCCGAACGGACAATCATAACTGATCACTCCCCCGAAAAGCTACTACTCCTTGTGTTATGACTCCTACATCTAAATTTCAATATATGAATATTGTCAAAATTGTCCACTCAAACTCTTTTAAAAGATTCAAGGTTTTTATCAAAATATATCAGCACATAAATATGAAGACCATCAATTCCAATTTTTTAAATGTAACTAGAGGTCTAAATCGCTAAAACTGTAACCCAAGGCAGAAAGCAAAATTTCTTATACTGTACCTTAACGGGTGGCAGGTCTGAAATAAGTATAGCATTCATATCTGATTATACTATATTCCCATATTTACATTCACTTAGTCAAGTGTCATATACAGATTCTCAGACAGGACACAGAAACATTTTTAAACAAGAGAAAAAAAAAAAAAAATCTCACTTTTAAACACAACAAAATTGCCCCTTGCCACAACCAGCCAGGTATTTTATGAGTACTATGGTTAGTTTGCAAGACTTAAAAATGTAGACCATTGTAGATTGATCAAATACATAAAAATCAAATGTTCAAGACTATAGACACAGCTTTCAAAAATCACTTCCACAACTGGTCCATTTTAAGAACAAAAAAGTTACAGTGGCAGCCTATAATCTGGCTACAAGTATCTTTTTTAATCCCATAGTTGCCTTTTAAACGTATGGAACCTGGTCACCTTACATTTGCAAGTTTTTCTAAATTTACGCACAAAATTTGGAGTATAGGGAATGAGGAAAGTCCTCAGGGTCAAAAAAGTGTCATGAATGTGCAAGATCTTGAGGCGAGAATCCAGTAACATTGAGACAGGAGACTACTGTCCTGGCTAACAAGCTTAGCTGAAAATCAGTGCTGACAGAAGGAACACATATCTCCTGGCAATGAAGGGGCAAAGACTTCCTTGAAATTCACTCAGTGAGTTTTTAGAGAATTTTTTTTATTGGTTTGCGTTTCTAAACTGTTCTGCTCTTAAGATCAAAGCTATGAATCTTACATTTTTCAGTGAATATTATTAAGACTTTCAACCTAAAACACAAATTCCTTACAAAGCACAAAGAGTAAAAATGTAGCTCACAACAGAATACACATAAAAACACATCCAAATCATGCATAAAAACATAGGGTAATCTGAAACTTTCATCCTTCACGTGACACATGCCATGACAACAATGAGCTGATTCAACATAGACATTGGGCTCAGAAAAAATATCATGGGAAGTTCTTGTTGCAGAACTGCTTATCAATTTGATTTTGTTCCACTTAAAAAACGACGAAGATTCACTCACGCAGTTAAGTTCAGATAAACACTGAATTAAATTTTACTCATCAAATCAAAATCCAAGATGACACTAAACAAACTTAGAGTTGAACAGTAACCTAATGGGACATTTGCCTCACATGATTGAAAAATTGTTGTAAATATCTACTCATAATTCCTTATGGGGGAGAGAGAGACACAAAAAAAACAACTGAGAAATAATATTCAGTGAATGACAGCCATGATTTTCACCTGAATACATGTCTAGATATTTCAAGGGGAACACCAAACAACAAGACAATTTCCAATTCTAAATATCATCATCATCATCTGGATCTATTTCTATCAATTCAAAATCATCCGTTTTCATAAAGCTCATGGGTGTGACTTCGTACTTGATATCGGGAGGACTTCCAGGAGGCTGACCATTGCCCCCACCCCCGTCCGGAGGCTGGCCACCCCCGTGCCCACTTCCATCACCCGGGTCTCTCGGAACCTGGTCAGTACCAGTGCCATTGTTATCTCCAAAGGCTCCATGGAAGCCGGGGTGTTGCTGCATGCCCTCCGAGGTGGAGTGCTGGGTGCCCTGGCTGTCATCAGAGGCGAGTTGCTGGTAGTCATAACTCTCTTCACCCGGCGCCTGGAGCAAGCTGTCACCTCCTGGGAGAGACAAATGCACAAGTAGTAAGTACCCCGCTCGCAACTGCATATGGTCATATGAGCGCGCGAAACACAAGTTAGTTTTATTCGCAGTTTACTATACGGCTGGACACGGGTCAGTAGTTACATCTTAAAATGTTTAAATATTTTAAATTCGGTGTAAATATATACAGCTTTCCTAAATAAAATTTTTTAATAATTCAATTTCACTCTATAATTTCCCATTAAGGCCAATGGCCTTCATAAAATCCAAAATTCTGTTGGGATCAACGACAGAAAAAATGTCTTGCAATTTTTTGCATTTAAAGTATTTCTTTCGGGTCTCTCTGAAGTCTAGACATTCGGTTAAAATGTGTCCAAAAAGGTAAAATCTGTGTTGCATCCGAGACAGAACGGCTTCTCTTCTCCCTAAAAGAGGTATTTGTGTGTTAGGGCCGTATGTCCGATGCGTAATCAAGTAAAAATAACTTCGTCTCTTCTGGAGAAGCCCGAAGGATTTCGCGGCCCCAGGTTGGGTTTAATGTTGTGTAGTTTATTTCCAATGGCTCTCCCACAGACTGGAACCCGACAAGTCAGTGGAGCTTCTTTCTTCTTAGAAATAACAGCGCCTTCAATGAGTGGCCAGCTGAAGGTCTACATATTTAATCTTATCTGATATGCTCCCTTTTCTTTTGACGTAGTTGAGCACAGATCTCACAAACATAGACAACTCGAAATCATGTACAGTATAGCTCGTACAATTTGACACTCCCCGACTGATATCTCTTTCATTTTTCACTATCAGTCAACCCGAATTATGGATGTGTCAAACACATTTGTCAATCTCTGACGAGTTATCCATGTCTGACTGTATTTCAATCTGCACAGAAGAGAAATTTTGAGATGTTCCGTTTAGATTATTAACAAAACAAAAAAAAGGAGGGAATAGATCTAAATAAGTGAATCTGTCCGTCAGTCACCTTTATAAACTCTTTCATGCTTCATTCAATTATGATTACAAAAAGCAATTTTTGACCTTGCTCAAGTAATCTTCCATAATGCACACTGAACAGAAAGGGAAAGTTATCCGTATATCCATTTATCAACCAAACAAACCTTCTGATGCCGTTGAGGACATTCTTCTCTCCATGCCAGGATATCCTGGGCTCTGCTGATAAGGGTAGCCTTGCTGGCTCATGTGAGGGGGAAAGTGTTGGCGGCCAAACTGGGGGCCGCGGGGACTTTGACCGGGGGATTTAAATTGGCCTGAAACACAAAGAAATATCGTCAAACATTTGAAGGAACCACAGCATCACTCCTGTTTCACAAGTGATTTATAGGGTTCTACTCCAGTCCCTACACAAATTCCACTGACCGTTACACCTTTTTGTTCTAGATCAAAATTTCATGAGCTCTCAACGGGCATAAATATGGGGTGTAATTTCTCAATTCCAAACCCAATTTTAACCAAGTGCACATTGATCTCTTACATCACATCAGTGGGAACATCAGCAACTTTCTAGAGATTCTTTTGCACTGAAGTAACTATTAAGAAATAACGCAGATTCTTCTTCGGTATAGTATAGGCTCGGTATCTCTCCCCCATCAATTCACCTTCTATTATGTTCAAATAAAAACCCTGAAGAATTAATCAAATTGGCAATGCCATTTTTGAAGTATTGTTTAGAAGCACAAGTCTCCCCGTTAGCACCCATAGCTCCCAACAATATGTGAATGGTTGCAAAATCTTTATAAAGAGAACCTGAAAACTACACAAATCTCTATTCACATTACCACTTTTGAATTTCAAAAGCCATGCTTCAAAATTTCTCCCAATAAGATAACACCAAACAAAATACTTGATATTTGGACTCAGACTAAGAAACATTTGTGAAACAGGAATGAAAGAAAGCAATCAATCTATAACTGTTCCTAACAACAGTACATTACTGGTTTCAAAACTCAGATCATAAAGCCTATAACTGTTCTCAACAACTGTACATTACTGACATAAAAACTCAGATAACTATGAATGGTCTAACTAAAGACCAAGAAGGTTATCAATCTAATCTGAATGAAATTAGAGCGATTGAGAAATTTAACAACACAATCATATAAAGGGTATTTACGTCAGCTCAGTGCATAGGTCCTTATCTAAAATAATAATTAAAATAATTACAATAATAATAACAAATACAAAGAGCATTGTCTTTTTTGTTGTTTTGATTCACTTCAAAACAATAGAGAACAAACAAAAAAACACAACCATAACAGGATCAAAGTACTTGTACAAAGCAGGATCTTTATCAATGTTTTCACACTAAACTGCTTAAAACAAGTAGTATGACCCACCACAAAGAAGATTAATCAGTCGGGGAGTTTTAATTCTAAAGGTTTAAGACTCAATATATTCAGTACCATCCTACATATTTGGTTCTCCCATCACAAACCATACATTGTGTGAGTGCAAAAGGTTGGAAAGCTCAGCACCTACATTATTTAAGTAATCATTGTTCAAAATTAAATTAATTTGGTATCCCCCACAGCGGCCATAGCATTTGTCAGACGGTGGCAGGTACAAGTGGCAAAATTTATACCAAGTCTTATTTGTTTTATGATTTAGTACGCATTTTGAAGATTAGAGATGTTACAAGAGAGTAACAAATACAAAAAAGGAGGAGAGCAAAGGACGATAAATGATTGATAAGAAACAAAGAACAAACCACGTCAGAGCAACCACCAACCACCCACACCGAGTCTTAAACCCAGTTAAATAATCTAGCATAGCCAGATTAAACTTCCATTGTTTTAGTTTCCAACACTTTTGTTGGAAAAACACAGGCAATCTCCAGCAGAGCTCAGTAGCCCTGTCCACAAACAAGATGGATGTTTCATAAGTCACCATCTCACACAACAGCACAACTTACTCTGACGAGAAACTTTCTTCTTCTGCATGCATATTCTTGATACAGTATTTGCAGAGAAAATGCATTTAGTCCGAACGAGCGCCTTTTCTAATATGGGCAACCGCTTAAATAACTGTCAAATACAAGCATCTGTGTGAGAACAATGCATAGCTCAACAGGCAGTACACATATCACTTAGCCCTTGATGCATGGTTTGACAAACTTTGGAAAAATCTTAACTTTAAAAAAGATGCCACATAGAGAGAACAGGAATAGGTTGCTCTACTATATGCAACAGAAAAATGTGTTCATCTTTATAAAACAAGCCATGAACGATGACAAGTCACCACTTGATGAAGCTATGTCCAATAGTCAACATCAAACACTGGCCAAAAAGACAATTTCTGGGGCCTCTACAAGTCACTCCAGCAGCAAAAACAAACTTTTACTTTTTGAGAAATAAATTTACAGAAGTCAACAAACTACCTTCAATTTGAACCAACTGTAAACAAGGAGTCTGAATGAATGTAACATCATTACCTTTCTTTCGCTCTCGACAAAGTCGCTCACATGCCCTTTGGCGGAGGAAGTGCATAGTGCGAGCGAGATCATACCTCAGTAATGGGTGACGAGAGATGAGCTGAACAAATAAGCAAAATTGTATTCCCACATGTCTGTCATACATACCCTTTTTTACTAAACAATTTCGCTCCCTGCTTACAATACACACAATCAATATTTGCCTGGAATATCATGGAGTATCACAAAAGTAGAACAACTTTGAACCTCTCAAAATTGCCAATAACCTTAAGAATTTGGTACCTGGAGAAATCCTAGAAAATTACTGACAGGGACAAAAGAGGAATAATAATTCTTACTAATAAGATCACCTGTAAATTGACACTTTCTATAAGTTCTTCTACTTTTCCGGTCTTTGGCAGTTTTCGCTAAATACCAAGAAGTTGTCTGGGAGCTGTACCGCAGCAAAGGCATTCGGGCTACCATCTATTCAATTTCACCCACGAACATGGGGGAAACGGTGGGAAAGAGAAATAGCACTTGAAAAACACCCGAAAAAAATTTAGAACAAAATTCACACTTTCTAAATGATTTGGTGCTTGACGTGAGTGGACATTACACTTTCAACCCCAAAAATCTCAACTTTGTTTGGAACATAGAACTTGAACAAGAGCCTAAAAAAAACACACAAAAAAAAACCTTGCTTCGCCTCATAGAACTCAGAAATGATTATGGGGTATTGTTGAAAGAAACACAGACAACACTGTAACGCACAGTCTGGAGGACACAGCAGGCCCGCAATACCATGAAGAAAAAAAAATAGTGGAAAGGTCTATAATTATTAAATATGCATTTGCTAACCATTGCCAAATCCCACGACTCAAGAGGCTTGTGCTGCTTAAAAAAAATAAACAGCTCGACCTACCTATAACAGCCAGATAAAACCATGCAATCCAGCTCGAAAGTCTAGTGAGCAAACAGTACATCTGACACAACTGATTCAGTCACACACACAATAAAACCTTAATAAAATATAAAATGACTTCATTCACATCTAAATAAAACTAGTTTTACCTCTCACACGCTTTGTCCGATTGTAGTGCCTGTCATTTGCATTCTTTACGAATACTTGGCTTAGCCAGGACATATTTTTCTTTAATAATGGTATCCGTCTTGTTAACTATACAAAGAAACAGTCCAAGTTGAAACAAGGTAAAAATACAATGAAAACTGACATTTGAACCCGAAAGACTTTAGGTGCTGTGACATTTTACCAATAATGCAATATTTCTCAATCTCTTCCAATCAAGTCTCAGATGTTTGCAATTTTGAAAAGCCACTGAATGAGACCTCTCCTCCAATGGTTATAATAGCGAACGGTAATTACTGAAACTCGAAACCGGTGTGGTATATCCAAAATATAAAAAATACTTGAGAAAAATCTTTCAAATCTCACCTTGACACATAAGTGCCTTTTTATTCTTGCCTCTTCTATCTTTGGCAGTTTTGGCCAAGTACCACTCTGTTACACTGGCCTTGTACTTCAGAAGAGGCAGCCGCGCTAACATCTGAATCATTACTCGGTGACAACATAATTCCCATCAAGAAGGTATGCACTTTAGAGTAGGAATAACCCCATAACCCTTTGACTACTTGGTGAAAGCTTCAATTTCATGCGTGCAAAAGTACAGCATAAGGGAACCAGATACAATACTAATCTTCAGAAAAAAGACTGTATGACGTTTCAAAATGCAGTCTAGCTTACACTTAGTTCTTTAACAAGAATGACAGTAACGAACAAGACTACGAAAAGACACAACATTTCGTGGGCTCATATCTTCTTCACACGAAGAATTCTTTACTCAAAGAGTATGAACTGGGGTACAGTATTACCTCGTTTACGACCTCTATACAGCCTTTCACATGTGCGCTGACAAAAAACAGCTGAAGTGCGTGTTTGGTCATACCTCAACAGAGGAACACGCATAAACAACTACACCGGAGGGAAAAAACCAAAACAAGACAAACTCATTATGTTTCACACAATTGGACACTGCATCAATTTTCATTTTCTTCATAGAGTGTCATCACATATCTTCCCAGGAAGGTAAGCCCCTACCACATGCTTGTGATTTTGATGCTTTGATAGAATACTACGGATTCATAGACACATAGCTACTTACGGCTGGAAATTCCCTATCGAAAAGATTTTACCAGCACCCGACATATTTCTTAAAATGGGCATATCACAGAAAAATTGTGTGTGTGTGTGCGTATGTGTGCGTGCATGTTTGTGTCCCCCCTCTCCCAAATCAGTGGGCTAACCAAAAACCCCCGAATTCAAGATCAAGAACAAAACCCATCTGCAAGCGACAAGAAGCAACAGAATGAACTCACCAACCCGTTAAAAAATATGAATGCAGCTTTGACACACCTCATACCAGACAAAGTCAGTAAACATTGCAGGGGAGGGAAAGGTCTTAAAGAGACCTGAAACTTGTCCCACAATTAAAGATGCTGCTCACCTTTGGAATAATAAACCTTTCTACTCTTTCTGTCACTGGCTGTTTTGGCCAAGTACCACACTGCTCGGTGCACACTGTACTTCAAGATAGGTGTGCGCAACAACACCTGGCTCACAGCAAAGACAATTTACAGAGACTCCAGTATATTATACTTTACAATCATTAAGAGAAAGCCCAGTTACTTTTATTAATCCAAAAGGAAATCCCTGCTAAACAAAGTGAGGATCAAACTGTGGTGCAACAGATGGCCAGGAAGTACCTAGCACCTCAAGGAAAGAGAAACATCAAAACTTCTCCTTTAAAGTACCAGTTCATT